AACAGGAAAGAAGTGCGCCTTTCCTGTTGTTTTACTTTCTCAAACGGTTATTTTAAGCTACAACAAAAGTTTGTAAGGAAAACAAACTCACTTGTAGGTGCCGTCAAGTGACGGGTTCTTCTCTGTTAAGCCAATGGTACGGTAGAAAAAAAAGGTGATGCCGTTTACAACGGACGTCCTCGTTTCCTTTTGATTCAGTCAAATAGATACTGTAGGCTTACACAATACCAAACGTATACGTGCGTGAATATGCCTCGACGATATCCATAGGCCTGTTTGATTTCTGTTAATGAATATTTGGTAAGCACCTCATGAACTAAGTGACCGTGTAAGTTGGATTAATAAAGAGTGAATGTGAACCAGTTGGTATATGTACCGATAGTTAGAAAAACGTCAGGCCTGCGCGGAAAGCGCAGCCCATTCACAGTGAAAGCTGGAAGAGCGCCATTGCTAGAACACGTTGCAAACTCTCTTAGGGCTACCAATGCAAGTGCGTTTGCAGGATACCCACCGCACTTTTAATTCATTCAGTGGCTGATGACGATGAGGGATTATGACCGAGTTATTTGTATTGAGTTGGAAGCATTTAACAACCCACTTAGTACGCAATTCATATTGTGTGACATCTGGTTGCGCAATTCGTACCCTACGACGCCTCGTTGTTTTTTACTCTTCTACGAAGCTATTTTCGATATGTTAACGCGCTTGCTTCCCGACGTAACGCTACCATTGGGCTTCTGTGGAGAAGTTTTGAGCACCGGAATGACTCTTTGGTAGAATACTGGGCTACAACGGAGAGGACCCAAGTTCCAGCCTCATTCCGTCCTAGGTACTCCTTCTTTGTTTCGCGCGACAGCTGTTACGGACGCTGGCGGTGGTTGCGGCGGCGGCGGACAACTACGCGGCACCCTTGCCGTGGTCTCATAACAGCTTTCGCTGAAAAACGGCGCGATAATGACACGGACAAGAATGCCCACAGCATCAACACTGGTCTGCGTGGATGCTTGGCTTTAATTGTCTATTTCGCGCGGTTTGTAACGTATAAGTTGATACCACAATGCAATTTCACTTGCCTCGTGTTGTTAATTTTTCACCATTATGTTTGCAAGTGGAGTGTTGCATATGCGCAAGTAATGTTACGTTACCAACTCACCTAATTTTGCGCCCGTTTTTCCGATTGGACGGTCTTGTCGCTATAGTACACGTACTATCTCGACAGCCTACTGACATCTCGAAAGCGTGCGCGATAAGACGATCCGGACTGCATCAAAGGTGGCTATTGCGCAAAGTATTAGAGCAACAACTTTTTTTACTGGAAATTTACTGTTGCATGCTCACTTTTGCATGTTTGCAAGCAATGTTTAATACAACGCATTGTTTTTATTGATCAAAGGTCGTATAGGTGTCTTTTCTAAGATTGTACTCGATGTTAGTCACAAAAAAAACATATATATGTGACGACAATTTTTTGTCATGTCCCGGTCCCGCAATAAGTTCTAGACAATTTATTTTCTCAAATAAAGCGTTTGAAAAAAATTCATTCACTTATAAAAATATTCATTTTTGGAGCACATCTTGTGAAAAAAATTTGACCATCAAAGTGCTAACGTTCAGGAACTGTCGTACGATTGAGAGAGACGCCATAGTGAAGGGCTTCAAAAAATGGGATCATCTGGTGTTCCTTAATGCGTCCCTAAATTAAAATGACTGATTTTATCACGAAGAGTACAACAAGATAGCCAGGTCACTCAGGTACTGTGTGAACAAATTACCATCTGTGGCAGCTCAGCCGTGGAAGCGTACCACTGTTAAGCTGCTGGATGCATGTTCAATATGCAGACAATGGTCACCATTGTTACCTCCCCTCTATCCTATACCTTCATGGCTGACGTCTATTCTGAAACATTACAAATACCTCACGAATGAGCGTATGCTCCATTCAAAACAAGCTTTTCGCTACAAGTAACTACGTATGTCATTTTTGTCATCGCATGGGCCTGTTACTGAAGAACAAGAGAAGAAATGACAGAGAAGGAAAGGCAGAGAGGTAACCAGTCCGGAAAAGGCAGTTTGCTACCCTGCACATGGCACATGTGATTAAAAAGTTTGCGGGTATAAATTGGCAGCAGCAAGCACTGGACCGAATTGACTGGCGGAACATGGGAGAAGCCTTTGTCTTACAGTGGACGTAGTCAGACTGATGATGATGATGATGATGACGACGACGACGACGACGACGATGACGACGACAACGTTTGAACGTGCACATTGAAAATTGTACCGCGAATGGTGGAAAGAGAGAGAAAACTAACACATAACGCAGCACACACAAACGTGCAGCCAGTAACCTGTCCGTCACACTCGCGTGGTACGAAACATCGCTATTACAGACGGTTACCCCAGTTAGTTTTTTTTTCAGAAACTTCAGACATTTTTTGGGTGACTATTGACAACAGACATTCGTCTACTGTCACTAGTGCTCAAGAACAGACGCCAGTGACTGTCTCTAAGCCTCGTACACTAAACAGTCACACAGGATGTGGCAAGTGTCATATGAGGTGTACCATACAGCATCCTTAGCCTAAAGAGCACCTGAGCCACTGAGAAATCAAGATGAGACAGTGTTTTTATTTCTCGTGTTGATTATCTTCCTGCGGGAGCTCTTTCTTTCTTGCCACTTATTTCGACATAACACGGGTCAACAATAACCGAACAAAGCACAGATCCTAATGCGATTTGGCGCTTCTCATTTTTCGGGACTACAGGATTTTGCTGTTATCCCCACTTGCACAGTAGACAAGAAAGTAAAATTAGTTTACCTCACACCATCGTCTGGCGGTATATGGCAGACTGGGTGTGTGACTGCACGACAAAACAGAGTAAGAGACCATTCCCGACCAATATCCTTCATATATCAGTCAATCGGGAGATCATCGTATCATGACGGCACGTGAAAATTCCGCTAGCGTCAATAATTGTGCGGAAAAACGGGAAAAGTTATGAGAGGATCACACGTAACGATAACATTGTAATAGCAGAGGTTATTTGGGAGTACTTCATCCTGCCGTGGTGGTCTAGAGGCTAAGGTACTCGGTTGCTGGCCCGCTGGTCTCGGGATCGAATTCCCGCTGCGGCGGCTGCATTTTCGATGGAGGCGAAAATGCTGTAAGCCCGTGTGCCCAGATTTGGGTGCACGTTGAAAAACCCCATGTGGTCGAAATTTTCGGAGCTCTCCACTACGGCGTCTCCTTATTATGATATGGTTGTTTTGGGACGTTAAACGCCACATATTTATATCTATGTTTGGGAGTACTTTAATTAGGTAACAGGCCACCTACAGAAAAAACTCCAACAGCCGACGTTTTGCCGATTGATGTTTCTCAAATGTCTGCGCCAGACGTTGTATTACTGTCGTCTTAAACTGGCCTATTCCAACCGCCCAATGACGCCAATGACGTACCCACAGGAACATAATATCGCTTGGGTTTCTTCTTATGAAGAATCCTGACATTCGTCGCCTGTTGGAAACTTGGGGTGACAGTTACGCTTTTAATGCTTGCCATTTAGGTCAGAAATCATTTGTCACTCAACTTGTTTACGCATCTAACGCCAGCGTTCACAGCACGTTTCTTGAGCGGAACGACAATATTCAGAATGCAAAGTGTGCCAACTCATCACTCAAAGTGTCATAAAAAACTGTCCTCGCCGTTAGCGTCCCCGGTGATTGACAGGATAAATCTGGCTCCTAAGAAGCACCTTTGCGTCCACTAGTTTTGTCGCCACAAATCCTAAGCAAATGACTCATGCTATTCAAGCTAAATTAAATGAACAAAGACTACTAAAAGCCATTATGACCAAAACATGAACTTTAAAATTCAGTTCAATGTAACTCGTTTAAAACTGTAACTTCTACAGTGCGAATAATGTAATGCACTGCACAGCGGTTACAAAAATATTTTAGAACCAATGTTTTAGGGGACAAAACGTACGATGTATCGCTCCAGATATAAGGCTCAAATCAGAGTTTGGTTGAGGAGAGTCTATTTTCTACGCCTCAGATAATGATAGCTGCCTCGGCTATACAGTGATTATGGCACTCGGCTACTGGAAATTTTCCCGAGCAGCACCCGAAACTGATTTTGGGAAGTGTTCTCGTGTATGTATTCAGCGTACAAAGTGCCTAAATATCGCCTTTTATATGTCCGCCCATTGATATATTACGCATATTTCATCTTGAAGATAATTCCACAAAAGGCTTATAGTTTCGTTTTCATGATGTAAAACTTTGCTATACCGACTCAGCTCTTGTTGTTCTGTGATTACTAAATCTCGCATATTTCACTAAACCTACAATAACATTTAAGTTAAGCTTACCATGGTGCTTCAGAATAAGATGCCCTGTGGAGGCATCCTCTTACGGATGGAATTTACGCAAATACAAATACCTTTATCATTGAAATTTCTGCACTCTGCGTGAGCAAAAGTTATCCGCAGTATCATTATCACTGCGGTCGACGGCTGCAGTTTGTGTACATTGCGAAGCAGTGTTGAAGGGAAAAGCAAGCTCAGTGAGTAATTAGGGGTCATGGCTTTGTGTTGGCCACGTAGTGCTTGGTCAGGCAGTGTTGGCTGATACTGCAGGCTCGTCCGTCAAATATTATGGGAAATTGCACTATCCTTGAACGTATCAAAGCAAGCCGCATTGAAACTGCTTTTTCTTTGATGCGCGGCCTATAATCCTTTATTAGTCAGTTGGTCTATTTTCTTGGTATGAAGCCGTCAAACGCTGTCGTTCTAGGAAAGCAAGTTCCGACGTAGCAGCAAAATAGCATGCCCTTAACTACGACAAAACTCGTGCTTTCCAACTTCTCTGCAAATTGCCAGAGTTTTTGACACTCAACAATGTTACATAAACTAGTTTGAGCTTTCACTTCTGCCAACCCGCTGAGCGGCGAACGATACGTATGTCCGCGCTATACAACGTCGTTTGGCTGTCACATCATGTCTTACTATCAGCTGCTTTTCTCGTTTGAAGCCCCCGACCTTTCGATAGCGGTTTTAGTGATGAAGTTCTAAGCCGCGCTGATGCATTCAGACCCGATTCATCGTGTTCGTTTTTAACATCGCCATGAACCACATGATAGCTTGGCTAGTCTTTCTGGTTCTCTTCGTTTCTGTCCGAACGGTTAAAACTGATGATCAGCCCAAGGTTCAACAGGGCCACTGCGCGGATAACAGGTAGGTGAAAATGTAATGTATTCTCAATATTGAGCACCTAGCAAATGAAACTATTTGTCCAATTTACTGAGTTTATTTTTGTGTGTAAACATGTACATTAGTACGCCGATGGGCAGGCTGAATTAAGACAGAACTTCACAAGCCAGCAAATACGCAAAGGCTTATGGAAAAACGAAAACCTAAGACAAGAAAGATTTGTGGGCACGACTTGTCGCTGAAGCGAACGTTTCGACAAGCGAACTTGTCTTATTGCAGAGTCTGCTTCGAAGAAGACAGTGTTCATCCATTTTCGGTACAGCTGCAAAGCTTCGTTTTGATGAAATCTCGTCTAAACGAAAACGTTTCGATTCTATGTTCCAAGTCAGATAGGCTTATTGTTATATACTATAGCAAAATAATCATAAAAATATTATGAAACAAAAATAATTAAAAAAAGTTTACAGGAATACTCTCTGTAGATGGATGCATACGTTAGCCACACCTGCTGCCATATGTTGACCTGTTCATTGGGACGTAGTTTCAGGGTGTGCGCGTACATGTAATCATTTAACGTGAATAAGTAGTCGGCTGGAAACTATGATGGTCATTCGCACTCCCGCTTTCTCTCCATTTCATTGCCTTGTTGTTTTCCCCCACAGATAGAGTTGCAAGCCAGACACGTACTCCTTCTGAACTGTCTGCTTTTCTCGCCGTAAAATGTTCTTCTCGTTATCTCCCTCTTGCGCAGCCGCTTCAAGATGCCTTGTCGTGAGCTATACAAACATATCCGATGACGAAAAAAACCAGTGCTGTTGCCGCCACGTTGAAGTGATCTAATTTACGCATCAGCAACAGAAGTATCTGTACCTAGTATTAGGATGGATGTGAACCATCCTGCAATTTAGCTGTGCATAGATTCGCTCTACGTCGCTGAAGTTCGCTAAGAAATGCTTCGTATTTAACACACGTGAACAAGGCCAGCGCTAAGCGCTAGAGCCTATCAGGATTTCACGCTTTTCAGCCACATGGTACATGTGGTTGTCAAGATAGACGATGCACCCAAGTGAACATATAATAATTTTACTTCCCGTTGCATTGATAGAACGCGTAAGATATTTGGCTGTTGACCCATGAAGAATTCAGTCTCGCTGGCGGTGGTCGAATTGCGGTGGAGAAGAAGTGCTAAAGCATGTGCACTCAGTGAAGACAGCGTAAGTTATGTGACCTCGGGTGATCGAAATTACATATTAACGCGATAGCATTAGAGAGCTCGTGTCCCAGAAATTCCGCCGTCGGCGTCGGCACTGTTGGTTGTGGGCGAAAAAGCGAGAAAGAAGGAAATAAAATAAAGAATAAAATTTCCGCTCCTACTAAGGATTGAACTCGGACCTTTCTCGTGGCAAGCAGGTGCCCTGCCACAAAGCTACAATGCTACTTGCAAATGCATCGGGAAAATACACTACATAAATGCCATATAGCGGAAGGAGTCTCCTTAAGACATTTTGTTCCACAGGTGTCATGACGAAAATGAGCCCATCATATATTTTCATTCATTGCTATGATCTTCTATAGTTATAACCTGGCTTACGCACATAAAGTTACACTATTTGTATTTTTACTAGGTCAACTCTTTATTGGTGAACACACTAGCACTCAGCCAAGAAAGTAACGCCCAGTACAATTATTGCATCGCGCATAATCAGTGAAAATCGGGTCTGGGGACCAACGCATTTGCTATCAATACGTCAGCCATCGTAGATTTTGTCGACGCTCACGTATTTTCAAATTTTTATGGCAGCATTCGCATCGTACGCAAGATGGTCGGCCTCCTAGATAACTTTAGTGGATTCCGGCACTTCTATTACGACCAGGCATGTCTTGCGCTAAGCTATTTGAAACACCTTAAATATCAAAATTTGTCATAGTGAAAAGCATGAGTCATGATGTGTATGCATACGGAACTTCGTCAAAGTAACTTCAATATGTGAGATGAAATTCATCGGAGGTTACTCCTCTTTAGTGTATTCCTTTCAGTAACATTGTGTCCATATTCAGACCCGATTGGTCTTTGAATCGTGGGGCTAACATTATAAAAAGCACTTAACATCGCTCAGAATATAAAGGCAACCTTGTGAGAACAAATAATATGAACATAAGCCACTTCGATGCTGACAGCAATGCGAAACAAAGACAATCATGGAATGATGCGCTCCCCCATGTATGCGAGAATATCGGGACGTCGCTTTGTGCCATTGCACTTAATTTCTGTATCTTTTTTTTTCAAATGAAGGCTGCCAACTAAGCACTAACAGGTAAATATTGCCACGGGCATGAAACGAGATTGTACAGTCATTACGTGTATGTGCCATTGTGAAAAAAAAAGAGATGACGAAAAGAAAGACATGACGATGAGGCACAGCAACGGAAAAGTGTGCGAGGCCGTGCAAGGTTTCATTGTACAATAGAAAAGATTCACTCAATAACCTCCATTTGATAATGTTCTCAGTTAACCAATGTAGACTACTGAAACATTTTCTTTGATATCAACCATTTAGGGCTCATTTAGTAGGAACTAATTCATCCAAAATTTTGTCACGAATATTCTACAAAAAATCAATGTTTCTGTTAGTATTATTTTCGCTAGTATATATATATATATATATATATATATATATATATATATATTCCTTTTTGTTAAGCTACCCAATTCTTGGCCAATCCTCCATTGTGGGTGTGAGCCACAAGTTTAGGATCTACATCTACGATGAGCTCGTGTCTCTGGTGATTGGTTCGGCTCGACGTGCAATGATTCTGTGTACAGGGGTTCTGTTTTATCCATAGTCACGTGACAATAATGTTGCGTATACTTAATTTTTTCAAGATATATAGCACCAGCAATCCCCATTATAGAACATATAATAGTTGTGTGAGTTGCAAGAGCAGTTTGTATTACGTTAGTGGCATCGGCGATACTTTTATTACAAGATGAAGTAATATTAAAAAAAATTGGTTCAGAGGTCCTAAAAGCACAAGGAAAACTGATTTCCGACTTAACAGCTTTTATTTAAAACAGTTCATTTTCTGTTAATCTATAATCCAAACTCCCACAACCGTAGACACTCGAAGCTTTCAAGTGGCATTCAATGTATATTTATATTTGGCGTTCGTCACGATTTGCCAACAGTTTAAGATTAAGCGCTATTATGACCTGCAAAATTTAAACGTTTTTGTCTAATAAACTTATCATAAAAGAACGGACCCCTTCAGCGATAAAAACAAAACTTTTCTTCAAACAAAAAATTTTGAAAGGGGTTCGTTATTGTAGGTTAAAATATTAGTGTAAATGTACATTATTAATGTAAGTGTGCTGCGTTACTCAACAGATATCCTCAGCCTATTCTATGACGTTAGAGATAGAGATCACCTTTGTTGCGTTATTGCTATCAAAGAAGATTATGTCACCACAAATGCAAACGTGTTGATAAAAAGACAAGCGAACCAGGGCTTTTACAGAAAGCTTTATCGTTCATGCTTGACAGTGCACGGACCCATGCCTTGCATTCTGACATGCGAACGAAAGAAAAGAGAAGTTGTACCGACTAACTTTAGTGCACAACGTTTTCTTTCAGTGAGAACTCCGGCGATCTGATTTTTACGGTACCGGATATAAAAAACAAAACACGTTTGGCAGAAAAGAAGAATAAAAGCCGAGTCTGCCTGCCTGTTCCTTGCGCCGACGTCGAAGCGTACTCCGGATTCATCAAAGTTGACAAAAACAGCAACTCCTCTTTATTTTTTCTGCACATCAAATCACAGGCAAGCTTCTTTTCACAAGCGGTATTAGACTGTATTTCGCACAATTGGTTGAATGTAGCCTTATGTACCACTGATGATCCGGATATATTTTGTGAAGCCGGATGCCAGCACTGGCAGTGAAAAAGCATCTTTCCTGCCACGTCTTTATTGACGCTTGCCATCAAACCACGCGTACTTCTTCTGAAAGCTATACGGAATACGCCCGCATCTGATGTGTAAACTCTTTTGAACTATATTAAAGGTCACTTCTTAAAACGTTGTGTATAGCATGAACCAGTTCATGCTGCATGAACAAGTTCATGAATAAGTTCAGAGAATCTTAGATGAAGATTTTTCTGAAGCGCTGTAACACTACGCAAACTTTCGAAGCAATCAAGACTTGTTTAATCCTCACTTTAAACTAGAAATGTTTTGTCAGAAGAGAATCAGCAGAGCACTAGCGGGTGATACGTTTATTTCCCGTGGTGCTTAGATAAAGCCGTTTGCCGGCAATTAACGCTCGCTTCCTCAGGGGATCAGTTTTAGGGGCGAAGGTCCTTAAGGGGTTGATCGCGCGTCTCCTGCATGTAGTACCCACCTCTCGTTTCAATCTCTGATATGTCCGCTGGATGGCGGTACTTGTATATGATGAATATATGATGAAAAGATGCGAGATGGCTGTACTTGGAGTGTTCACTAGATGGACGGACGAACGAATGAACAAACGGACATACATACATACATACATACATACATACATACATACATACATACATACATACATACAGGCATGCATGCATGCATGCATGCATACATACATACATACATACATACATACATACATACATACATACATGCATGCATGCATGCATGCATACATACATACATACATACATACATACATACATACATACATACATACATACATACATACATACATACATACATACAAACATACATTACATACATACCTACAGACGGACGGACGCGGCCAGCAGATGATTCATGGTTTGCCGATAAAACCCTTCGAAGCTTCGCCCCACTCATCATCATTCACTCCGTGAATATGCTGTGATTTTTCTGTCAAAGGAAATAGAGAGTAACAGGTGAGCGGCTCAGCGGACCCACGAGTGAGCGGAAGGCAAATAGTGCATGCACAGCACGCTCAGCCCGCTCATTTCGTACCCTCAGCTGAGCGTGCGCGGCGGACCAGCGACCGAGCGTTCTCAGGCAAAGCATTTGCTCGATCGACAGTAGCTTCGACAGTGTTCAACAGGTGGCGCAGCAATGTGCTCCACTGTCCGTGCTCTAACAATCAGAGCATCGCTCGGCTATATTCGTCCTGCAAGGTAGTTGAATTCCCCGCTACAGTCCTTTCGTCCTGCGCTCCGATCGCCCCTATACTGCGCCCGCCAGCCCGTTCGGCCGCTAAGCTATTACTCTTTATTATGTCCGAAATATACATTTTGATGGCGGCACTAATGTGCAGATGTAGTACACAAATCGGAGAATTTGTGAACTTTTCGCCCAGCGGTGGAGATTCTCTGAAGTTAAAAGATTGGGCGTGCAAGCGAAGTCACTGATATCAAGACACCACAAACACCGACTAGTAACGACTGTAGATAGCTGTGTTTGTAGTGCCTTGACCTCTCTTTTGTGTCCGTGTTTACATGCCCAGTATTATAACATAAATACGCAGCAACTAGCTGAAGCGTCTGCTATTCTATGACTATCACAACTGCTTTTTCTGCACTTATTTAATGCGCTTTGCAGCATACTGGTGACAGGCATCCATGGTAAATCAGAAATATATACGGCGATTCCCACAAAACTAACCGCAAAATAAAAGCGATTATAAATTACATTGTCTCCAGGAAAAGCACAATTTTTCACCGTGTCTTTACGCGCCTCATACAAGCTTCTTTCAGTGTCTAATTAAAACATATAGAATAAAAACATATAGCAAACGTAGTGCCTGTATAATTTTTTTGTCTGACATGTGATGTACATACATTGCATGGTGCAGGACATACAGAATGAGCAAATTTTTATATATCTTCTCTGATGTTTGGTCGATATTTGTTTTTATTTTCATTACTTTATTTTTGGCGATAATGGTGTTACGGTTGCTGGATTTTTCTTTTGTTTTTGGTGGTGTTTTTTGTTGCTCGCGTTCATGTAATCTTCTGTGCTGTGCTGATATCAGGATGTTTCGTAGCAATGTATATAAACGTTTTTCTTACACCATATTTGGTAGTGTAATGTTAGCTTGTAGTCTTTATTGTTACACACGTCTTTGTCATCCTCTCAACTGCCTTGTATAGGGTTCACTGGCCTCGTCAAGCTGTCCATAAACAGCTTTTAGCCAGTGAACCTCTCCCGAAGCTGTCTCTTTTCTGGAAAATAAAATAATTTTAATTTAAAATTTGAATTTCAATTTGTCTAAAGGGCCACGCCCGCCTCATATCACAATCAACAGAACTCAAAAGCCTATCATGTGCTTCATTGAAGGTTTTTAAAGAAGCTTAGTTACATGAGTCCGTGAATACGTACACGTGAAAACCGGTCAGTCACGAATATATTCTGTGTTGCGTGCAAAGTTAGGGATAAGATGGTTACTCAAATGCATGCCTTTTATACAGTGCTATGCTGCGTGTACTTTATAACGAAGGTCTACCGCTACTGCAAGAACGGTGTATCTGCCATTGTAGCAATGACTGTTACGTTGATTTACGGAAGCCTCGTCAGGGCTTCATTAGGTTTTCATGGTTCCCAAATTGACGATGTCTAACAATATAGTGCGTAGCGAACAGAATTACGCAAACCAACTGTTACACGCATGTACCTAGTTTGTTTGCACTTTCGGCGAACTTATAAAAGTGGTAATGTGTGAAAATTTAGAGTGATAAAGGCAGATATACGTCGCGGTTAATACAACCACAAGACCATATTTACGCCAGAAGCAAGAACTTTTCAAAATACAAAAGCGGACTATCAAACCAAGGCAAACATATAGAGGACGTTATTTGTAATAATTAATATATAACATATAACTGTGAAAAAATTAAAGTGAACAAAAAGACAACTTGACACAGGTAGGCAGCGTACCTGAAACCTTCAAATAACGTGTAGAATTGTCTAACAATCGAGATACGGCCGTAGTCATCTCCCCTTACACTCTATCAGTTGTATATCTACGCCTTCGACACAAATAAATTCATCGCGGAACAAGCAATATCCGGTATAACGGTACGAGTACACTTCTCTGACTGCGCGCAGTGGAGACTCAAGAAAAATTTTCTTAAACAGCCATTGCTGCAATATGAAGAAGCGTACACATCTCTCAATTTCGCGATCACTCCAGTACGTTACACATGATTAAGTCCATTATTAAGGACACACACAGAATACTTTTTCCAGCAAATTTTGCTTTTTTTGTTATTTTTGTTCGCTTGCTTACTTCACAGACTAAAACGTACATTTACTCCACGCAGGGTGATGCCGATAAAAAGCCCCTCCTTTTGTGGCTCCAAGGTGGTCCTGGGAAATCGTCTCTCTTTGGACAGTTTCTTGAAAATGGACCCCTCGGCATAGACGCTAACGGGAAACTTTTTTACAGGAACCATACAATCGCAGAGTATATGAATCTAATTTATTTAGATCAGCCGAGTGGTTCGGGATACAGCTTCAACAACGGCATAAATTATACGACTATGCTCGATGATGCGTCCACTCACATCATACGGTTTCTGCGGCGATTTCTTAGAATATTTCCGGAGTACGTCACAAGAGACTTTTACATCGCTGGAGAGTCATACGGAGGTAATGTATCCATTTTTTTGTGCTGCATGCCAGTTTTTTTAAAGAAGCAACTGACCAGTTTTAATATCATCACGACTCAAAATCCTGATACGTACACAATACAAGGTTTGCTTAAACGTCATAGGCAATTTATACTCTATCAAAAGATACCACACACAGGCAGCACCACCCACAGGCAGCAACCTCTTGCAAATGTAGTCGTCTCTTTATTAAACTGGACACTGACTTGACACTCGGATTCGATGTTTTGCTCCTGTGGCTACAATAATCTAACAAGTTCTACTATTTTGTAGGTCAACAAGTTCCTTGCATTACTTTGAATCTAATACATCTTGCGGTAATACGCCTAAACAGGGCAATGTTCCCTACGTTGGCTCAGTCATGTGTAAAAAGCTTCGTTATCAGACCTTTTACGCAAAAATATTTGCATAAAAGCAATTATAATAAATAGTATTGCTGAAATAACATGAGTAAAATAAAGAAACAAAAAGGTTGTGCTCCGATATTATATTTATACAATAGCCATACATACTAGTTTCACGCACATTTTTTTTTGCTGCGTTTAGCATAAAATTAGTAAAAAAGCTATCACAAAATTTCATGTCCCCCCAAAATTGCGATATTTGCGTAGAACCAATCAAACATATTGCCAGATAAAGTGTTGTTCTTTAAAGAAGCAGGTATTTAAAAGCAAAATATCCGCAATAAAAATCATGAAGTCTGCACAGCCAATTGAATGCCAAGAATGCCAGGGGCCTGTAGGAGTTGCAGGTGCTTTCCAATGCTAATATTAAAAAGTTTGTTTGCTTATGCAAAAGCTTATTCGATGACGGGCCTTATTTTGGTGACTAATTAAATTTTTTTTGTATTTCTGCCTTACAGCAAGGTTCACAATGGCGCTGGCGAGCGAAATTTTGAAGAATAATAGCTTGGTCCCCCTAAAATTAAGAGGAGTGATGCTTGGCGTCGGATTCTTGTTTCCTGTTCTCGAATTGATTGATTCCAGCAATTATCTTTTTTCTTCTGGACTACTTGACCATAATGGCCGAAAGACTTTTGCTAAGCGGTTTCAGATTATCAAGAAACTTGAACAGCAACAAAACTATACCGCGGCTGCTGTTCTTCTCAGTCAGACTGTCATGAATTTAGGCACTGCAGAAAATCAAACATTATTTCAAAGACTTACTGGGTTTAAGCACCAAAGTAGTATTGCAAGGACCGAAAGGAACGAAGAGATAGCTGCGTATTACAACTTTGCGAACAGCACTGCTTTCAAGAAAATAATACATGTAGATCCTTCTAGGGTACTCGATGGCACGAGGTATTCTGTAGTAATGGCTCTAGCTCTAAACGATTTGTTTAAGGACCACCGGAATTTAGTAGAGTACGTTTTTAATAGGACGCGTGTTCTCTTTTACACGGGCCAGTTTGATGCCGTTTTCCCGGAAATGAATATGGAAAAGTGTTTCAGAGAACTGAAGTGGCGTGGAGCCGCGATGTTCCGCGGAGCGAAACGTGTGTTTTGGCACCGAGAAAACAGCAGCTCACTTGAACTCTTCGGGTACGAGAGAATTGCGGGCGCACTAACGTACGCAAACGTGCTCTTCGGAGGCCACCACATTTCTATGGATCGCTCGATAGCTGTTAGCGATTTGTATCGTCGCTTTCTCACTTCTCACGATCTGCTTACAACAACAACCGAAATGATTGCATGCTGAACGGCACTCAGAAACACCAGCAAAAACTGTTTTTACTTTTAAATTTTATCACTCACGAATTCTAGCTTCTTTGAAAATTCTTTATTATCTGATGACATTGCCTGCGCACCCTTAATTATTCTTGTATAGCCGCTCCACCCCCTCGTTAAAGCATTAACAAACCATATCAGAACTTTGTGTAAAGTTTCACAGTGGTATGCTATAGAATTCTTCCCATCGTTCCAAACTTGCGCATTTGTCTCGAGATTGATGTTCCATCCAGATCAACCATAGCAAACGTAAAAATTGTGCGAAACGCTAAATAGTGATACACAGAGACTGATCACTACAACTTCAGCAACTGAAAATGAAGCATTTCTTATTCTGCTGCTGGTTCAAGAAAGAAGAGAATTTAAATAAATATTTCAGCGAATCAGAATGCCTGTATTGTTTCTTTTCTGCTTTCACACTCGATGCATAAACAATATTACCGAATACATTTGAAAATTGACAATATTCTTACACGTTGACCATGGAATAACATATTTTCCTATAAATATAGAATCCTGTCTCATCCTGAATTTGAACAAGTGAAATAATTGGTATCTCTTACATATAGGGATGTTTCAAGGTAAGGCAGACCATAAACAAATTTTGGATATTTTAAACGTATTCATAAAAACCTAGTCACATCCTCTGCCTGAAAATTGTAATAATATAAATATTCTTTTCTGAAATCACTTTTCAATAATTTGTTAGTACGTGATATACTTCCATCTGCAGCCCAATTTTATTTTCTCTTCATTTATCTTAGCTTCGTTATATCTTTTATTCAATTTTCGCTCGTTCAGGTAAGTGCTATAATGACATTTAATATTCATATTCAACATGTTTATGGCGGGTATTCTCCTATTTGTACTCTGTGGGACCAAAATGAGTACTAAATCAGCACATACAACTCAAAAGAACTATTATTTTCCTATAATTCTGATTACTCCTGCGTCTCAGCACGCCTTGTAATGCCGACCCGGTGATTCACGTGGTGGTCTACCAGCTTGAAAGCTGTGAATTGTTCCGTAAGCGAGCAATATATATATATATATATATATATATATATATATATATATATATATATATATATATATATATATATATATATATATATATATATATATATTACCTTTGATCGATCTTGTCTCTAAGTGAGAGAGGTAACATCTAATAGACATCAAAAGCTACATTAATCTTATATAAGCAGCTCGTTCCTTTTATTTTTCCTGCAAGTATGTTTGCTCATTTTTGCGGCTATTATGGGCAAATCACTTTGATGTAGGATGACTTGATCACGGGCGCATACGTGACTATGGAAAGAGGAGAAGGACGTTATGTAAAGAACAGTCGCCCCACAGCAAGGATGCTGTCTCTTGTCTATCTCATTACTTACATTACTTAGGGTTGTACTATGGCCAACCATTGTTGTCGAGGCTCACCTCGCCGTGGTCTCTAGTCGAAGCCAGGTGCGAGAGATTTCTGCGCAACAGCGCCTACAGAGCGTGAATAGCGTGCATATGGTTCAACAAAAAATAAAAGGCCACAAAACCATAAAAACATCCGTGTTTAAAAACCATAAATGAAAGTATATCACGAAGCGAGGGTCCGAGGGTCCCGCTGCAGTCTTCGGCTATGGGACCCTCGTCTGTATATCTTTCTGTATCAACGTTTTTGCGTAAGAATAATAAATGGCCCTGACTTTGACTTTGGAAGCAAAAGGTTAACACCATCACAATAAAAAGGCTCCTAACCAGAACGATACAGAAGTTCATAACGCAATGAAAGCGGCAAAGCAGCAACATGTGAAAAAAAATGAAAACATCTCTGAACAGCAAAAAAAAGGTATCGAGAGACTGTTAACCAGAACAAATAAGATAAAAGGCAACCTCGTAAATTTGAATAAAATAACTATTGTTACCATAACGTATACATCGATGAACGTAAAACGCACACAGGACACGCCACCCCAGGAAATAAATTTGTAGCTGCACTACTGTCTTCGGGAAGGTGCTGTGATCGCGGAAAGGAGCGGACGTGCTTCATCGGCTCCAATTTCTACAAATGATCTCGCAGTGATTTCAACAGTGTTACCGAAACTCTTTCACTAACAGATCTGCGAAGTCGAGAGGAATCGACGGATACCCGATTCTGAGGTGGGCCATCATATTTCGAGGAGTTATTGAACTGTGTGTTATGACCGAGCCGCAGCCACGCTGGGCCCAAGCGTGAACGCCTAACGCTAGGCCTATATAGTTGGCGCAAGAGCAGAATATAACCGATGGACGGGGTGTCACTTGTGCGCACTCTTTTCAATGCAACGGCACAAGCTAACGAACGTGACTCAGGAATGCATGAGCAAGTGACTGGGGAAGACATTTCTACCGACGAAATTACCGAAGACGCCGGATGGAAGATTGTCGGAAAGCGGCGTTCGAGAGCCCGGCAACGCGGGGTGGACACGTCAAACGACACCGTCTTAAGCACCAACAAGCTCGGCATTGCACAGCAAGGTACTTAGCCCAAGGATGCCAAAGCAAAAGGTGGGACACATGCCCAAGCTACCGCAAGAAGATATCAAGATTGTGGTGCGACCGCAAGGCGGCCTCGACATCGTCAACAAAACCATGACCGCGGTGACTACTTGAGCGCCGACCTCGACATTCGTCAAGGCCGGCACCCCAATAGTCACCGCAGCCATCTTCCCAGCTGCCAGTATCACGGAAGAAGAAAGCGCAGAGGACATGGTCTGTCCGAATTCCCACCAGCACATCGTCGTCGTCAGCACTCCGAAACGAGTAAACACCGACCGTTACGCCAAAATGCGGCAGATATTTATCCAAGGGAAAGTCCACAAAGTCAACGCGTATCAAACAGCACCCGATAATACAACCAAGGGAATGATTCGATGGTGGTGGTGGTGGTAAAAAACATTTATTTCAGAAAAAGTTTACTAGAGAGTGCCGACGTGGCCCATCGGCGTGCTAGAGTGGCAAGACCCTATTCCGGGACGCCAGTGGAGCTGGAAGCTGCCCGTGCGCGCTCCACCAAGGAGCGTTGTGCAGCCAAGGTAGAGCAGCCGAGCAGGTGCTCCTCCCAAGCCTCTCTAGTTGGGATAGGAAAAGGGGATGAGAAAGGGACGGGATTAACTGGGCACGATGCTACGACGTGATATGTGTCGGCGAGCACATGACAGGTCGAGCAGGTGCCATTGATTTCCGGCAAAAAGTGCCTGGCGACCGCCGGACTGATAAAAGTGTTCGTCTGCAGACGGCGTAGCAGTCGTTCGTCCGCTTTCTCCAAACCGCGTGCGGGGTCCGGGTAGAAGCGGCGCGAAGCCCGGTAATAAGCCAAAATTTCGCGAAAGCGCGTCAGGTTGGTATTGCCAGATTCCGTCTCGGGACATGGAGGGGCAACGGCCCGAACAGAAGAAGCGCGGGCAGCGGCATTTGCCGCCTCGTTGCCGGGCAGGCCCGAGTGGCCTGGGGTCCACACTATACGAATGGGATGAGGGTTAAAGCGCCAAGAGGCTGCCTGTAGTAGGCTAGCCGCCAGCGGAGCAATGGAACCCTGAAGGTACTGAGAACAGGCCGAGCGCGAGTCCGTCAGGATGGTGCGTGAGGTAGGGTGAGAGGCGGCCAAAGCTATGGCAACCTCTTCAGCGTGCGTTACTGTGTCTGCTCGAAAGGAGAGGCCATCTACGTGTTTGCCCTCTGTAATCACGGCAGCCGTGAAGTGACCCGAGGGGGAGGGACCCGAGACGTCCACGTAGAAAACACCAGGACGATCGGAGTGTCGCGTATGAAGGGCCGCGGCGCGTGCTAGCCTACGGCCAGGATGGAGGTCAGGGTTCATATTACGGGGTAGAGGTTCCACCCATAGCTTTTGACGCCAGAGCTCTGGTATCGGCTGCAGAGGGTCTTGGTCAGATATCGGGTTAAGGCCAAGTCTGTGTAGAAGACGGCGCCCTGAAGGCGTCCGCGACAGTCGATTGATTTGGTTAACGCGATGAGCTTCGCGCATCTCTGCAAAGGTGTTGTGTACCCCCAGAGCCGTGAATCGGCTGTTGGAAGTTGCAATAGGTAGGTCCAGAGCGCGTTTGTATACTGAACGAAGAAGGACGTCCAGCTGGTGCTCGTGTCGACGACGCAGGCGAAGGTAAGGCAAGGCGTAGAGGACGCGACTGGTCACAAACGCGTGGGCCAATCGGAGGGACTGAGACCCGCGGAGGCCGCCGCGCTTGGTAGAAACTCGCCGTATCATGCGGCTCACCTGTTCGCTGGTGCGTCTGAGGCCTGATATTGTGCCCTTTGGATCCAAGGACGATGTGAGGTGAAGGCCAAGAACCCGAATATTTTGCACTGACGGGACGGGCCCGGACGGAAGAAAAATTTGAGGAGGCGGTAGCGGAGAGACTGAAAGAAGAGCCGATTTAGCTGGAGAGCACTCCAGGCCGCATGAACCTGCGTAGGTGTCCACCAGAAGGGCAGCCTTTTGCAGGCGCCCCGCCGCGGTGGTCTAGTGGCTAAGGTACTCGGCTGCTGACCCGCAGGTCGCGGGTTCGATTCCCGGCTGCGGCGGCTGCGTTTCCGATGGAGGCGGAAATGTTGTAGGCCCGTGTGCTCAGATTTGGGCGCACGTTAAAGAACCCCAGGTGGTCGAAATTTCCGGAGCCCTCCACTACGGCGTCTCTCATAATCATATGGTGGTTTTGGGACGTTAAACCCCACAAATCAATCAATCAGCCTTTTGCAGGCGTTCTTCGATTTGCGCTAAGGAGCCGGTGTTGGTCCAAATTGTGATATCGTCCGCATATAGTGCGTGTTGTATTCCCTCGACCTCGCTTAGAAGAGAGGGGAGGTTCATCATCGCCAGGTTAAAAAGCAGAGGAGACAGGACTGCCCCTTGCGGTGTACCCCGCGTGCCTAATAAGTACGGGCCATGTTTGGTAGAATTAAGGCGAATGAAGGCGGTGCGATGTGATAGAAAGGCGCGAATGTGGTTGAAAGTCTTCTGCCCGCAGTTTGTGGTAGACAGATTAGTGAGTATAGTGCTGTGTTTGACGTTGTCGAACGCCCCGCGGAGATCGAGAGCGAGCACGGCTTTATCGTTATGGCGCATAGTAGTCGGCTCTATGATATCGTGTTGAAGCTGGAGCAGGACGTCCTGCGCCGACAGATGCGGGCGAAAGCCAAACATCGTGTCGGCGAAGGTGCTCCTGGCCTCCAAGTAGGCTGAAAGGCGTTCGCGAACCATGGTTTCCATGAGTTTGCCTGCGCAAGACGTAAGTGAGATGGGTCTCAGTGCCTCAATACTAACGGACTTTGCCGATTTGGGAATGAATGTCACGACCGATGTGGTCCATTCCG